TGGATTCCAATGGGAGAAAAAATAAAACAGTGCCTGAGAAATCAGAAAAATGCAGAAACTGCTTAGAAGAATGTTCAGGAAAGTTAGCCTAAGGAATCCAAGGGTGGAAGATAGATGGTGGTGGTAGGTTTAGAGCAGCCCTAGTATGAACTGTATGTTAAAAGATGAGGTCCCGAGGGTGTGGAGAGAGAAAGAATCAAATAAATGCCACCTAATCGAAATCTTTCTTTTCCTATGAATAACATCAAAATAAAAGGGATTGGAACTAGCATTGTTCACATTAAAAAGTCCATTTCTTAATTCTGTATTTCCTGGTCCTCTGTTTCCCTCAGCTACCAAGACAGTCAAAGGCTGCTAAATAATCTTTCTATTAAAAAAAAAAATCCAAGAAGTGCTTGCTTGAATGAGATGGAGAGAGGCTGAAACCCTTCTGATAACTTTCAGCAGATTTGCCTACAAGCATTAAGCCTGCCAAGAAGCCTACCCACTTCCTTAGTTTCCTATGAGGGCTGTTTCCTATGAGATTTTTGTGTAGCTAAACCATCCTACTGCCTTATGTTTCCTATATGAAATTTTTATGTAGGAAAAATAACCTTATTGCTTCCCAAATGAGGTTTTTATGTGGACAGACCATTCCACTTCCTTATCGTTTCCCACATAGATTTTTATGTAGACAAACCATCCCACTTCCTTTTCTTTTTTGAACCAGACCTGTGATTTCACGGGTATAAGGAACTCCTAGGAAGAAAACTCCCTCTGTGAAAGCAGGTTTGACACCTCCTCTGCAACATACAGTGCAGAGTTGACTGATAGGTTAAATGATTTGCACAGGATCATATGGCCAGTGTATTTCAGAGGCAGGACTTAAACCCAGGTTCTCCTGACTTTAAGACCAGTGGTCTATCCAATTCACCAGGCTGCCTCATCCATTGCCTCCCATGTGCAGGTTTTCTATAGACAAACTATTCCATTTCCTTATTGTTTCCTATATGACATTTTTATGTAAATAAACCATTCCACTACCTTTTTTTATTTTACTTTCAGATTATTTTCTCCCCTATATGGTAATATTATTTTCTTGTCAAGTCTACTCTTGACAGTAAGCTCTATATAACTTACATTTGAGCATAAGTTAGAGAAATCTGCCATCCTTGGAACTGGTTTTTGCTCTTCTCCTGAAGGTAGAGTTACTTTAGACCAATTCCTTATATTTATCATCATAAGCAATGAATGTTTAGTTATTTTTTTCTGCAAAACAGTTTAATTTAGTCTAAATTTACTATTTAAAAAAAGGCTGAAGCCTGCCAAGGTGATGCAAATTATGCTTACCTAATATTCTTACCATACTGAGATATCCTGAAGTTATAACCAATGAGGCTGGCCCTCTTTGGTTGTTAATTTTTATTCTTCTTTCAACTAAATTATAGTAGCAAATAAAAATGGTTTCCAACAGTCATTGCATGTGATTCTAGATTTGCTCCTGACATAGATGTCCAACTCTTAAAATAACAGCTTGGGTTGAAAATATTGCATTCCACTTATTAGTGAGTACATGGCAGCCAATGAGTGTGGGATGGATCTGCGCTATAGAACAGAAGTGCTAAAATCAACCAATTATCAACCAATATCCACTATGTACCAGAAATTTTGCTAAGTCCATTGGTCATCAGACATTTATAAAGTGCTTATTATGTGCCAGGCACTGCACTGGGCACTAGGAACACAAAAAAAGGCCAAAAAATAGTCTCTGCCCTCAAGGAGAATACATTTTGATGGAGGAGATAACATGTAATTATATAGTTACATGAATGAAATATACAGAATATATGTTGTTCAGTCATTTCTGACCCCATTTAGGGTTTTCTTGGCAAAGATACTGGAGTGGTTTGTCATTTCTTTCTCCAGCTCATTTTACGATGAGGCAAATTGAGGCAGAGTTAAGTGACTTCCCCAGGGTCACACAGCTAGTAAGTGTCTGAGGCTAGATTTGAACCCCGATCTTCCTGACTCCAGGCCTCCTAAGCCATCCAGCTGCCCCATGGTTATTGATTGTCCTTCATTCTCAAAGAGGACCTAGCTGCTCCATATAGAGTATAAAGATGAGGTCATCTGAAAGGTTATCTGACATTGATAATTAAGGAGATTAAGGAAGGTCTTCTGCAGAAGGTGAGATTCAAACTGAGTCTTAAGGTCAGGTGCTGGAAATACAAAAGCCAAGGTTGAAGATACAAGGGCAAAGGTGAATCAATCCCTGCATTTAAGAGACTCTCTTTGGTAATTGCTCTTCATCGGCCTATCACAAGCACAGTGTAGTACCATAATAATAGAGCCCTTCTTCAGCTATTAAAGCTTTCTAGTTCAGTAGACTTTAAAACTTGTATAGGTAGCCTTCAGCCTTTCATGACATAAAATGTGGCTCCCACCATGAAGTGAGAAGCATTCCAAGCCCCAATGATCATGAAGTGGACAGTCTCAAAAGAGATAACTCCGTCAGCATGTATATTCATTTGGAATTGTCAGAGATAGATAGCTGGCAAGTACAGCAAACATCATTAGGCTTCAAAAGCTTGAGCAATGATCATGGTATGTGTTAGATCCTAGGATCAAAGCTTTGAAGCTTGAAGGAACCTTATCAGAGGACATGGAGATCAGCCTCAAGGTTTTATAGATGAGATTGATTAACTTGTCCAAGGTCATCCAGGTAGCAATGGCAGAGCACAGATTAGAACCCTCTAATTCCCAGCAACAGTCCTTCCACTATTTCACACTGCCTCCCAAGGAGCACAACCCATCAGAAACCTAGAGGAGGGAGAGGAACAATTTTGTATTTTCTGGAAAAAAATAATCCAGGACATTTCAATTCTATTTCTGGTTACTAATGGTGACTTTTATATGAGTAAATATAATCATAGCGGACACTCAGAATCTCAGCCCACACTCTATTAAATTCAACTAGTATTTTTCTAAAACATGAGTGTATAGTCCCAAAATATTCAAATTTGTTTCACTGGGAGGCAGAGGCCTAGCATTGAGGACCCTTGGAATGCTAGAATTCAATCCCTTCTTGGTTTGTGGGAACATCCTTAGAATGTTGTCTCAACATTACCAGGGGACCTTCATACATCAAAGACACACAAAAGATATTGGAGCAATGAAAAAAAAATGTTCTCAAGTGAGACTTGAACCATAAAAGGAAAGAGTTTTCTTGACGGTTCTCCCTTAACCGGGACTACCATGATTTCAATTGTGAGAGATCATCCCCCCTGACCACGGATCAGATATAACCTGGTAGCTAAGAGAGCTGTCCAAGGCTCAGAGAGGTCAACAAAGCTTCACATTCATCACCATCAGATTACAGACTGTGAATCCCAATGACCCACCCTGGCTCCTGACAGAGGTTCATCATGGAGGCAGAGTCTCATGGTACAGATGAATCAAATTAAGTGGGCCTCTGATGTGGTCAATACCCCAAGTAAGCATTCAACCAATCAATAATTCAATCAATTTAAAAAGCACTCGCAAAGCACCTACTATCCTAGGTTGTGAAGATACAAAGACAGAAATGAAATAATCCCTACCCTAACAGAGCTCACATACTCTAAGCATTAAATGCTTCCTTCCCTTTTACTTATTTAAAAAAATCCCTAATTCATTCAGGATCCATAGTTATCAGCAGCCATCAGCAGCAGTCTCTATTACCACACCTGGGTCATTCTGCCAAAGAAACAACAAAATGGAACTGACTGAAGCAGGGCAGCTTTCCTGGTCTTGAGCAACCCCTTTGGTCGACTGCTTCAGAAGTTAAAACATATATTTCTGATTTAGCTTTCTAAATATATGTGAGAAATCTAGTTATTTCTTAGTCTGTTATTCTCCCTCCCTCCAGCAATAAACCAGAAATACATGATCCATCTTAAGTCAACAAAAAACAATAATAATCTAATCTTGCAAAGAAGATAAATTATAGAGGGAGTAGTTGAATCACATAGGAAGATTTCAGTTTCCAAGTGGGTTTCCCAAAGGGTTCTTTTAAGTGACTTCCCATGTAAACATCCATGTTTGCTTCTAGATCATTAACCAAAGATGGTCAGGCAGGGGCAAGGAAAAGAGTTAAATGGAGCAGCTCCAAACTAAGGTGCTCAATTAAATTTAGCAAACATTTATTAAGTGCCTGCTGGATGCCAGGCACTGTGTTAAGCAATGCAGATAGGGACAAAAATGAAAGTTGCTGCCCCACCGAGAGCATAGACACAAACTATTTACAAAGTATTAGGAGCCTCCTTCCAGTTATAAACCAATGAGAAACCAACAGCAGGATCTTTGCCATTAGAATGGAAAACAAGAGGGAGTATGATTGACAAAAGTTTCATTGGCACGTCAACTTTTTAGGGACGTGACTATTACACAAAGCACCTGTACAATTGACACCCTTTTCTATAGTACCATGATAAAGTGATGTTTTCATTCTACACAAGACAATACCGAAGGAACTTAGGGTGTTTCTATATTTAACTAAGAGGGAATATATGCACATGTAAGCACATACATCCTGGGAGGTCTCATAAACACACAGGAACACAAGAATACATCATGATTGGGCCATCCAAACTGGAAGACATATACTGTGAAACCGAAGCTATTCCTTCTACTCTTAGTGTGAGTTATTTTCTTGATTTGCCTATGAGAAATCAAGGATTGGCTATTAATAATCAAGGCTAAACAAAAGGCCCGATGGCATTTTGACAATAAAAAATGATTCAAAGGTCCTTCCAGAATGGGGGAAAAGCTTAAATTAAAAGCTTTTAAATTAAAGATAACTGCATCGGAGGGGGAGTATGGCAGGGAGAACCTTGATAATGCTGGAGGGCTCATTTTTTGTTTGTTTAGTTAATTTTTTTTGGTAGGCTTGCTATTCCCATTTTGTTGCAAGGCTGCATCATAATTGGTCTGGTTCTCCTGCTAAATCAAGCTTTCTGATACCTGTATTCATTTGTTCTCAGCTGGTGAATGAGCAGCAAGAAAGCAGACCCCTCCTAAGCCCTTCTATCGATGACTTTCTCTGTGAAACCAAAGCGGAAGCCATTGCCAGGCCAGTAACATCAAATACAGCAGGTAATTCATTTTCTTCATCTCATTAGATCTCAAATAGAATTAATTTGGGCAGTCATGAAATTCAGATTTTCTTTCTGTAGTGCACTTACATATTTGCTTCCAAAAGGGATACAATTCTTTCCAACCAAACAAAGCTTTATAATACCATATGGGCTGTTAGATATAAACCAGCAAAGCAATTTTCACGGTGCAACAAATTGTAATTTATGTACCCAGACCAATTTAATGGAAGGAGAAAGAGTCAACATGGTTGAGGAATTTTCTTTCTCTTCACATGTCCATGTCTGTAATTATGTCTATATCTCATTCTGGGTGAAAAGCAATGTGGCATAGATAAAGAGTTTGCTGGTCTTAAAGGAAGGAAGACCTAGGTTCAAAGTCTGTCCTCAGATACAACTAGCTGTGGGACCTTGGGCAAGTCACTGGACTTCTCGGTACTCCCAAAAACTCTTTAAGACAATACATTTTAGATGAATTGCCATAAATCAGTGGAGGGAGTTTCTATATCATGAATTCTTTTTCTGGTGAAATCACAAGATTGGGGGGGGAGGGAAAAAGGAGGGATACACTAGATAGCATTTGAAAGATCTCTTCATAACAAAAAGATTGCTCAGGCCAATATGATAGCCCATTTGTCTCCAGCCATGTTTTGTAGGAAAAAAAAAGTTCTCATAAAATAAAATAATGTGGGTGGTTTTTAAGATAATTGAAATGAGGTTTGATATAATGATGTAAAGCTTATTTAATTTCTTGTGCATAAATCTGGTATTTGTCATGTGCTTGTGCATACACACACACATACACACACACACACACACTCCACATGCACAAATTTTTACAAGTCCGCCAGAAATTAATAAACTTGATTTTAATTTAAGCAATAATTACATCCTTATAACTTCATTACCAATAGATAAAATTTACTTACATGCTTTATCAAGGAAAGGAGAAAAATTCATAAAACTAGAGGGACGTTCTTGAGAAAGAATAAGAAAAATGTTTTGAAAAAAATACAAATGCAATTTTGGCTGAGCGTGATATAGAATTACTAACTGAAAAGGCATATTAATGCACACATCCCATAAATCACTTCCATGCAGCTTCCTTCAAGCCTAGAGGCCCATGCTTTCTGGCTAACTGTGTGCTTTTATTAAGCTTCTTGGTATGCTGAAAAATCTACCCTGTAAGAGAAAACTCTGACAACAAATGCCAGAATCCAAAAGCCAAAAAATGCCCAAGAGAAAATATTACACTAGAAAGTCAGACAAAACTCATTTCTAACACCTTCCTTTTCAAAACAATTTAGTATTTCCTCACTAGTTGTCTCATCTTCTTGGATCAGATTTTTTTTCTTTTTTTGGAGCCATCATTGAAGAAGTGAGACAATGTAACATGGCGCAATCTAACATGGGGGCTAAGTAGTTAGCCTCAGAATCAAGGCCTGCCTTGACACATACTGGCTGGACTTCCCTGGGCAAGTCACAACCTCCCAGGGCTCCAAGCAATCCTCTAAGACTTTAAATTGCAGAGAAGGGATGAATGTGCATTGGGAGGGAGGATTCACTTATCTGGAAGTTCCCTAAATCAAGGAAGTCTCGTCCTTAATCTTATCAACTAAGACAAGTGGCAGTGTGTCTGTCCTTGGCCATGATACAAAAAAGTTTATAGACTATATGGTAGGGTCAGATTCTTTATTTCTGAATTGAATGTGAGGTGTGAGAAGGGACCAGAATTTTCTCTTCATCCTTCTTACCCATCCTGAGAAGAGGGTTTCATTCAGTTTCAGAAGCCGAGATCTTTGCCACTAATAGTTTTATTGTTAAGCCCTTTTCCAAAGCCTTGGCCTCACCTTTTAATCTTATTCAAATGCGCTTTCCTTCCTGGCTCCAAAAAGAATCTGGCTTCAGTTGTCTACCGGTCTCAGGAAAATCTTAAAGTTTTGGAAGCTGCCTTATTTCCCTTTGAAAAGCACACTTGCCCCCTTCCAGTTCTCTTCATTATCTATTCTCATTGTCTGTTCAAATCTCTGAGACATTCCAAATGGAAATTCTCACCTGGACCCTTCCTCTCAATCACCTCCCTCCTTCAACTGCTCACCCTTAATCCTAGCTAGGCACCACGAGGGTCTGGGACCCAGGAGTTCTGTTCACCTCAGCTTACTAGCCACTCCCGTCCAGATCTCCTTAGACCCCTCCTCCCATCACTCCAAACTGCTTGGCCACTCCTAGACCCCTCCCCCAGTCTTTCTGTACTTAAGATTCATCTTTGCCCCATTCTGACACTGAGCTCTTCTCAAGCCTAGAGGCTGAAACCCCTCATGCCCACTTACGAGCATCACCTGATTTAGATCACTGATGTTTGGGTTCCTTGGGAGTCTGGCCTATATGCTTCATTTTTAATAAACTTTTTCTCTGGCTGGAAGAAGATCTGGGTTGAATTCATTCAGGCAGCTCCGTGCTGCGATTTGGGGTTCAACACCCCAAAACCTCCCACGATCTTGGGGTGCCTCTGTGCATCTAAGAGCACACCAAAACCTCCCTCCTCTTCACTGAGAGCCTCCAAAAGTGATGACTACCTCTTTAAAAAGCATATATATGACATGCCTTGCTCTTATGATGGCACATAACCCAAACATTCGAGTTCACTTACACTAACCACATACACTTAGCAGAGTTAAAACTAAGGTAGGGTGACCCAGACTTTGTTCTTTGGCATTAAAATTTAAGGGGCAATGAGAGCATTTACATTGCTTCAGTAGCAGAAAAATAACTAAGCTGAGAAGGGAGGGGTTGGGAACAAAATAAGTATTTACTAAACACCTACTACGTGCTAGGCATTGCGCTAATGCTTTACAAATATTATCACATTTGATTCTCACAACAACCCTGGGAGTAGGTACTATAACTATCTCCATTTTTACAGTACAGGAAACTGAAGTGAAGTGATGTGCCCAGGGTCACACAGCTAATAAGAGACTGAAGCCAAATTTTAACTTGGGTCTTTCTAACTCCAGGCCCAGTATTCTATCTACTGTTCTACCTAGATGGCCCTAGTTAAAATAGATAACCATCAGATATCATGCTTTTTCCCTGCTATGACTATTCCCCATGTGAGGCTCAATTCCCCCTCCCATGGGGCCTTGTACCCCTTTCTTTCTACCTCAACTGATTTTGTCATTAAAAAAACTATTTGAAGATATATTCCATGCTTATTACCCTGGGTTTATTTATTAAGCTTGTACCAACCACCTAAATTGCTTATTACAACTCTCAGTAAAAAAAAGAAAAAAAAATTCATGGCTTCTCTAAGGCCCTAAAGCAGGCAGAAAGTTCTACTGAGGGCAGATTCTTCTCAGGCCTGGATTGCAGAATCTTCTGCTCTTCCCAACCCCTGCTGACATTGCAGAGAAGTCCCGAGCTGTAACTTGCAATTTTTGAACCTGGGAAGAACTGGAGGGGAGGGACACCAACACACAACCAGGACAAGTGCCTTCAAATTAACTTCTCAAGTCCAAACAGTATCCTCAGGCCCATGAGCAGAAACCAAGGGACGCCTCCAGGCTAAGTGAGGACAGAGCAGAGAAGGGCTAGGCCAGAGAAGAATGCCCTTGAGGCAAGTACTCCAGGAAATATAAATGGATTGTCTAGTAACTTCCCTTTTTAACCAACACTTCTTGGAAACTAGATGTTGAAAGGCAGTATGGATTAATAGATAAAAGAGCCCTGGCCTTTTAGAGCCCTGCATTCAAGTCCTGCCTCTCAAACATACTGACTATTTGACCATAAACCAGTCACTTAATTTCTCCATGGCCCAGGATATCAAGTTAAAGGACAGTTGCCAATCTGTTGAATTAGAGCTTCCCTACAACAATGAAATAACAAACCTAGACCAAAAAGAAACACATTTGGGTGGGGGGTTTTGTTGTTTTTTGGTGATGGACCATAAGAACCTTTGGTACCTTCAAAATTTAACCGTAAGGCTAAGTCTAATCACCCCACCCTAGTTACACTTCTGTCCAAGTTACTCTGGAAGGATACCCTTGGGAAGAGTGAAAAGTTTAATGTAACAACCTGTGAGAAAGGGGTCTTTCTATTTTTCTAAATAATCTCTCCAAAAAAATAGAGAGACCCAAAAGAGTTTGATAAAACAAAGAAAACGTGTCATTTCTTGGTCACAATCAAGAATACAAAGGATATATGTGAGGAATACACTTCTCAGGAGTATATTTAAGTGGGGGTGTTTGGGGACTTTTGTCTTCAATGTTCTCATCTTTTCCTCTTGAATACATCTTATTTATGGGCTCTTCACAGTAAAATGCCTCGTGTTTACAATTTAGAAGGCAAATGTTTTACTTGAGACATAACCTCTCAAGACAGATTAATTTCTCAAGAGTCCAAAAAAAAACCCAATCCAACACTGATTAATATAGTTGTGGAGCATAATAACATAAAAATAATATGAGGCACTCATAAATTCCAAGAATAAACCAAAAGGGTGGCTCCTTTACTAATTTCCATTTTTTTAAGACAAAAATAATTATTTGCTGCTTGGAAGAAATACAAAGTTTTCATTGTCTTCCCCATCATTCCCAGTTCATCTTGCTCTTTTCTTTATCTCAACAATGAGGGCAAATTGTATGTCATTCAGGAGTGAGCTAATGTGATCTAACCAAATGATATTAAAGTCAAGTTTATTATTGGGAAAATACATAGTATTAAAGCTTTCACCCTTCATATGACCATAAGATCAAAGCAGAGCTATCTAAATGGTTCTATTTCATTCTGGTCATTCTTAGTAGCCATGCCTTGGGATACAGGAAATCTCAAGCTAATATTGGGATACCTTGACTGTGAGGTTCTTTCAGCTCAATAGTCTGAGAACACCCCTACAGACATTCTTGGTACATTATAAGTCTCTGATAAAGCCTCATAGCGTTTTTGTCCTTCTTTCAAAATGCCAGCTCAAATGCCATCTTCTATATGAAGATTTTCTTGATCTCC